AATCATGTTGCAATGATCCAGGATCGTTGATTTGACGACCATAATAATGCTTCCTGGTAAAGAGTGATTCTTATCAAAGTTTCAAGTAAAACAGAATGCCAAGCGATGTTTTTGTTCTGGGTGTATGTGACTAGTGTAATTACTGTTCTGGATGGAAAACACCATTTTCGCCTATATTCAAGCTTTTGTGTTGCATGCTTTTTTATTTAGTCTAAAATAACATCCTTCAAACTATTAATATTTACTTTTCAGCATTGTTCATTTCTCCCATAAACAAGCTAGTCTTAGGGGCGAAAATCTCTATTTTATCCTGTTCTCTACTGCTCTTTGGGACTTTATAAAGTCCATGTAGTTTATTGTTTGATGTTATCTTCCCATATCTTCTGCTGTCTGCCACGTTTTTTCTTTCCTCTCATTGTGCCCTGTAGGATTGTCTTTGACAGGCCAAATAAGCTTGAGATGTGACAATGCCTTCTTTTGCGTTTCGTTAGGATGAAGAACATATCTTCCTATGGTTCAATTGCGTCTTGGATTATAATGCGCACCTCGTCATTAAATACGCGTTCGATGTCTGAGATTTCAGGATGTTTAGAAAGCATATCATCTCTAAGGCATGGCTTCTTCTCTTTTATCTCTTGCTCTGTTGTCAGGGTCTTTGTTTCACATACATACAAGAATATGGACTTGACGAGCTTGGTCTTGGACTCCAGCGTGATGCTGCTGTCCTTCCAAATAGGCTTCAGCAGTTTTTGTCTGTGCAATTCTGGAAAGAACTTCAGGTTCTGAACCTTCATAAGATGCAATGGCACCTAGGTACTTGAAGTTTGTCACTGTACCCAGCTTCTTTCCATTTACTCTTATATCCTTTTGCATGTCAATTGGGTTGCTTCTCATTCCCTTGGACTTTTCAGCGCTGATCTCCATTCCATACGTTAGTGTTGCTTGGTTGAGCTATCAATATCATCACGAAGCACAGGATGCTAATTGTTCTGCCTCCAACATTAGCACTGTGATCTTCCAAAGCATAGGACATGAAAGGATTTCTAGGTAGATGTTAAAATGGGTGGGTTACAGAAGGCCCCGTTTGACTCCAACTGTGATTCTGAACCAATCTCCTATAGTGCCAATGACGAGAACTGCGCGAGTCGCATTGTCATGCAGGTTTTTTAAGGTGCTTTTTTGCGCTTGTCCTGTATATACTCAAGGTGGCCCACAAGGCTGCAAGTCATGCATTATCTAAAGCCTTCATGAAATCAATAAAGACATGATGGAGGCCCTGTTGACGTTACAGATACTTTTCACAGAGGACTGAAGATCTGTTCTGTATTGCTACGTCTTGCTCTAAAACATGTTTGTTCTTCAGCAATGATGTGCTTTGCTTGGGATTTCAGTCTGTTTAGGATAATCTTAAGCATACCCTTGCTTGGTTGATTGATCAGGCTGATTATTAGTCAGTTCTGGAACAGCTGTAACCTCGCTTTCGTAGAAAGAGTGGTGATCAGAGACAGGGTCCATGGGGAGGGCCATTCCCATGTTTTGCCAGTGTAAATTGTTGTGAGGATATCTGTCATGGAGGTTCCTACTGCTTGAACAAGTTCCGCTGCTATATTGTCTACCCCAATTGACTTCATTTTCTCTGGTGCCTTTACTGCAGTCTCATCGTCTTTCCTGAGGATCGGGTAATCAACCTCTATTGTGGTCAGTGGGAAGTTTAGTACCAATTTTTCATGAGAAGTCTCATGTTTGTTAAGCTCTGAACATTATTCCGTCCATCTTAAACATTTCTTGACCTTCTTTGATACTTTTACCAACTTTGACCTGGATCGTGGTAGATCTGCCCTGTTTCGTTTTAGTGAGGTCTTTCACCAACTGGTATACCTTGTACTGATATTTTTGTTTATGCTTTTATCGACTTCATTATATTGGTCCTCTAATCATCATTAGTGTGCTCTCTTTATACTTTTCTGAATCCTATTATTAATCTCACTATATGTCTTTGCTCTTGGAAAGTTTCATCGCTCCCTTCTTAGTTTGCTCGTTACATCATAAAGGTAGAGGACATCTGCTGTAACCCAGGACTTTTTATTATGCGATGTTTGCCAAGACTCTCGCTGGAACAGCGAGCTAGACAGATCCTTGATATATATAATATTGTCAAGCTCATCATGCAAGATCACGTTCACTGTATTAAAAAAGGCAAGTGTTAACTGAAATTACAGAGTTGGCCTGATTTCATTCTGGTTTCTTTCGATGTTAGTTTTGTGCGCCATAGCAATTTCACTCTTTCTTGCCTTGGTGTAGAGTTATATCAGATCCCCACAAAGCACATGCTTCTGCATAATAGTTGTACGAAATGTTGTGGCTTCTAATTGTAATGTATCTTCAGATTCGAATAAGCTCTTAGGAAACTTTTCGAGGCAAAGTTTTGATACAATAGGTCTGCTACATAACATCTGACCCTCTGACATATATTGAATACGTTGAAATGTTGCAACTAAAATATGTTTTAATTAATAGTTCCGTTGAGGGCAGTATCGGTGACGATGCCAATAAACTAACGTTTAGACAGTTTGTCTGATCTTCAATCTTGGATCTGAGTCCAGAATTTCGATGTTAGTTTTGTACGCCATAGCATTTGCAATCAAATAGAACATAATACAACTTCGATTTATTCTTAGACGTACATCCACGCCATTCAACAGTTACATGTCTTGCAACCACAAGTCTGTGTCTATTCATCATTTCTAAATTATACATTTGTTTGCGATTGCTAAATATACATTGTGATGATCATTACTTTGTGTCAATTCTTTGTTGTTGAAAACACCCATTTTGTCAGCTCTCCACACCACAGATACATCAATATATGTGTTTTTGGCGTCCTTTAATTATGTCTGGAGATTTTTGAAGTAATCTCAGTAAGTCCATATGTTCGTGCTATTACTGACTGTCACTAAACTGTGTGTACTAAAATTCTTCAGTATAGTATACGGTTGAAAATATAGAAGGTTTTCGTTCACTTATAGGGTTACCAGCGAGTGCACAGTAATAGCCATAGCGATTTCAAAATACTCAGATCTTCTCGCATTCTTCTGCATGCACAAAGTGCCGGCGGTGAAAAGCCCGATTACTTGGTGTTTTCTGGCAGTAGATTTGACTACAATCAGAGTACTTGTAACCCAAATTCTCTGTCTAATCACAATACAAGTTAGCCTTGTCAGCAAGCTGTTCATTTTACTGAAGCAATCTTTAGATTCCGTGTATTAGAAATGTAAGGCTGTATTAATTATTGCTTTCCCTTTGATGTGATAGTATTGGTTTAAATTATCTCTGTTTTGGAACTTATTCTAAATTTTCTAGAAAGTCAGCCTTATGCATCATAAGGCTTTGTTGTTCTGTGTCAATTTAACCATATTTTTATAGCTGAATTTAGTTATATGTTGAGCGCATTAAAGATGAGTAATGTCAAAGTTGTTACAATACAGTGAAGTTATTCTTGTCAGAGATAGATTCATGTCCAAACGTGATTATTATAATAATAATCTCTTACAGACTTGCTTATGAAAGACATTAATGAAATCAATTCATATACGAGCATGCGTAATGTCTATCATTGTATTTGTACTTAACCCTGTCTTATATATTTTACCTCTTAGTTACTGTATTTTATGTTGTTCATGAGTAGTCGTTGAACCCTGATGTTTTGCGTAACTCGGATACTGAGTTGATTGGTGACGTGGTTTGCTCAGTGTGAGGGATCAAAGATTTTGAACCAACGGGTCTGAGGGATAAAGTGATTCTCGAGGAATCCTTCGGCAGGATTGGAGTAGCGTGCTAAGCAAGGCCGTTACTTGATCATTTGATGGTAGCTGTGGAATAGGAAATCTCGCGTAATGGTCGACTAGAATTCAGTGGTCCCCAACATTTTAGTCGCCGCGAACCGGTCAATGTTTGATAATTTTACCGCTGCCCGCTGTGGAGGTGGGGTTGATTGTTTATATTTTAGATTGCTATGATTTAATAATTTTAATTTAATTGTATTTAAACATGGCTTCAAAATAAAATAGTTACACCAAAAATGAACATAAATAAATATAAATATAAATGAATATAAAGTGAATATAAACCCAAGAGAAATACACAAGAGTAAATAAAATGGAAATAATTTAATGTATTTTGGGCGGCCCGGTAACATTTGATCCACGGACCGGTACCGGTCTGTGGCCCATGGGTTGGGGACCACTGGACTAGATGACACATGATAAATACCATTGTATATTCTATGTTGAAGGTCAAGGTTATTGCACGTGGAAATAAGTCTAATGTCACGAAAATCAATCCTACATCCATCATTCTTGTTGACAACCATAAATTGACCATAGGTCTATATTTTCATCGCACTTGTTTATTATATATGTTGATAAATTCATATATCAATCATATTTGGTTTATAAGTTTTTATACATTGATCATGTCTGTTCACATACAAAATCACTTGTGATCCTTATTGAAATTCCATTCTTTGAACGAATTCATTTAGGAGCAAAATCATTTTCTGACAGAGATTGTTGAACTTTGAATGTATTCTTTTGCAAAATCCATTGTTTGACTTTAAGTGCATGAGTATGGTGTCAGATTTATTCATCATTCATTCACATTATATAAATATTTTTTAATTACATGACTGATGTAATCTTTTTTCTTCATACATTAATGCTCTAAGGAGTTTGAAGGGTTTTCCCGTCTCTTTATGTTATGAACTTGCTGTGGCGTAACGGAGGAATCGATGCTTTGTACGTGAATATAAAGTAAATAAGGGGGTGTCTTAGCGAGCCAAGTGTTCTTTTCCTGTCTGTGTCAACACATTTGTTTCTTGTCTTTATTAAGACTTGTTTGGATCTCTCTCTCTCTCTCTCTCTCTCTCTCTCTCTCTCTCTCTCTCTCTCTCTCTCTCTCTCTCTCTCTCTCTCTCTCTCTCTCTCTCTCTCTCTCTCTCTCTCTCTTTTTAGTATGGCTCGACCCACGACCTCCCGCATCCAAAGCGGACGCTCTAACCACTAGGCCACCGGAGCGGTTTTGGACATTGTTGGTCAATTAGTACTTTTTGGAGAAATTATTTTTCTTGCGTCAAGGCAGTATCTTATAAAGCAGGTAATACTCGATTGACAATATATTTCAAGATGGCTGCTGCTTCTCCTCGATAAACGAGAAAATAGAGTTTCAATTCACTGGATAATAGTTTTCAAAAATATAGTTTCACTGTGAGTTTCGTTTAGAGAATTAAATTTTTGTCAAAAATTTTCTTTCATCAGTATTCATACTGTCATTAATACAATCAACTGACAGGAAGATAATTGGTAGTAAACGTGGTACGTGTTTCCTCCTTCATCGCAAGAACTAATGACATAATCCACATTTAAAGAAATGAAGCGCAGTGACAGACCGGTTGTTTCACAAAATGTTGTACTGGACGACATCAGAAGAAAAAACATCAAAATCTGTCATTTGTTAAATTCAATAGGGAATTGAAATTAGTTGAAGAATAGTTGTTGATGATGGTGTCTTTGGTGAGAGAGAGAACGAAATAGAGAGAGAGCAGAAGAGTAAAAAATATCGCAGACGCATGGTTGTTATTGATATAATCATTTACTCTGTTTCTGCTGTTGTTGCTGGAACCGGATTATTATTATCAGCCATAAAGATGACGGCGCCTGCAGTTGTAACAATTGTCGTTTCTACGGCAACAACATACGCAGGTATTTTCAGTATTATCGCTAAGAAAATATTTACATGCGCGAGTGATAAATTACGCGAGTACATGATGAAATTACAAACAGCAACAGCCGCCTATTCTAAATTAGCTTCATATATTTCATTGTATCTCGGTATTGGCAAAGTATCTGATGAGGACTTCGGCACGATAACGAAAACCTACCATGAAGCATTCAGAATCGCTAATGACAATAACCAAAGCGAAAAAATGAAGAATTAAATAATAACGACAACAATAATGTCTGAATCCAAGAGAACTATTGCAAATGATCGTCACCAACATAACACCATCAAAAACTACTATGATATCATTAATTTCAACCAATCCTGAATTTAGCGTTTTTTTCCAACTGCAATTCTAACAAGTGACATAGCATTGGCGAAATTACGTGAATATAATAGCTGGCCAAATATCAGGTCGAAATCATTCTGTGATTTACCAGTAAATAATTCACTGGTATTTGCAAATAAGAATAAACCTGATGGAACACCTGATTGGCAAGTTGTTGCAATTTCGACGGGTAGTTATCAATTAGACCAGATTAATGACGAGTTCCAACGCAGAATTAAATCTATTACAGGAAAAGAATCTAAAATAGCGATTACTGCTTACGAACCAACACTATCAGCGGTGATTGAAATAAATACTCCTGATTATGTTGTAGATATTTATCAAAGTTCGATCAGATCAGTGTTAAGATGGCCTGATGTTGCAGCAGTTTATAACGGAGTTTCAAAACCAATTAAAGATAAGATTAAAAGAAGTGAGGAAAAATTCATTACAAATCCAGAATATCGAGAAAAACATCCATGTAATTATTTAGTACTTGAATCTGATCCAAAAAACGATATATATTACTTTACCGATTTTGACGGGAAAGGAACCGCAAGATAGCTAAATCAGCATTTGATGTCATCCCAAACGCCATGGTGGATATTATAGATATTGTTAATGAAGATTTTATTGAATATTTTTTAAATACTCTTAAAACTGAATACTATAAAACACTTAATGATTAAAGAAATTTACTTATTTCATTATCACAACATTATGATGATTGTGTAAAACATCAGATAATTGAGTCAATAAAACACTTAAGTAGGATGTTACTCGATTTTTAGATCGCCATTCGAAGTATATTAAACGTCTATACTAAAATATAATACCGACCCACTTAGTAGCGGATGCCATATATCTCCGGGTATTGCAAGCATAAATTCAACGATCGCTGTCAATCTAGTATGCGATGTTGTAGACGGTAATTATCAGATAGATCTTTCAAAGTCTAGCCATGTTCAGCAAGGATACATATACCCTTTCTTTCCGCGAGATCCACCCGGGCGGTTGATTGTATCAGAGCCCATAAACACCGTGTACTTGCGCTTTCATAATCTATTATCAAGAATACAATTCAGGCTTACAGATCAGAATGGGTGCATCTTGGACAAACAAGATAAATCTGGATATGAGATCATAATGAGTTTTATGTCACAATGCGAAACAAAAAATATCCGAATCTAACTCGGTTCAGAGTATATTTTTTCTTGGTACAATATAAATAGTATCAGTTTATCCAATGATTTTGTTTAGTCATCAGTCACTGGTTCTTCATTTTCATTATCGTTTTCATTTTCACAATGCACTCTTAACTGTCTTATACGAAATTTCATAATCTTTTTCTGCTCGTATTCATGGAATAATTCAAACCTAATTTTGTCAATAGCGTTTGAGAGGCACAAAGAGCTTCACCTGTTGCCAGCAATTTACCACTGCTTGTAAAATTCATGAATTTGTAATCAGATGGTAGCGTTAACCTGTTCTCGTGTTTGCGTTGTTGTAATGATTCAAAATCACATCGATTTTTTTTTCAGGATTAAGATTTTCGGATACATTTACACCATTATATTGTATTTTTTTAGTCACAGAAATAATAGTATTGATATTCTCAAAATTCTTGATATAATAAATATTTGTTTAATATATATATATATATATATATATATATATATATATATATATATATATATATATATATATATATATATATATATATATATATATATATATATATATATATATATATATATATATATATATATATATATATATCAGCAAAAATAAACAGCGCGGAGTGAGATTCGATCTACGATTCCACGACGAATAATATCAGATAAACCTAATGAGATTTCGAGTTTTCTACTGTCAGGAGAATTCCTAGATATCCGTAACGAAAATTCTAGAAGCCCAGAGAGCTGAAAGTCTTTGTGACCTGAAATCTCATCAGGTTTATTTTTTTAATGACCCTAGTGTGGGGTACCATTTATTGAAGCCACAAGGTCACGATCTCACATCACCCCACTGTTTTTTATGATGATGATGATGATGATGATGACGATGATGATGATAATAATATGATGACGATGATATGATGACATGAAAGCCTTTTCTTCCTGTCAGTACCAAACACCTCAATGATCAATCAATGGGTGATGCAAAACTGCATCCACCACGTGATGGCATAGTGCTTGGTTGTGCTGAAAGAAAAATAGTGCCCCATTAAATTATAAAACTTGGCGTAAAAGCACCTCCGCAGAAAATTTGTCTTTCACGATTTTCGAACCACGGACCTCGAGTACCAAAGTTTCACCACGCCAGCAATGAGCAACAGACTTCGCTCAGAATATATATATATATATATATATATATATATATATATATATATATATATATATATATATATATATATATATATATATATATATATATATATATATAATGTGGCGATTCTCTTTGTAAGAATTATCTTTCAAGAAGACCGCTAGCAGGCTCACATATGATTATTACGTTATAAGGTTATGTTGTGATGCCAGCAGGGGCAATATTTTATATGTTTTGTACACCCACCCACCCTTCATGATAGTGCACTCGTATTAAAAAATGAAATTGTCATTACTGGAGAAAGAGCGTCTTTCATATACGTTATTTGCGTTTGCAGAAAGTGCGATTCGTTTTATATAATATAATAAAATTTTGTAATGATGATTTGTCAATACTGTATCTGTGCTTGCGGAATCACCACATTTCCTATATAATTGTATATAAATGTTGCAATTCGCCAAACGCAGTACCATCTAATATTAGTGGGTGAGTGCTACTGTACTTATAGATTTAGCAGGCTTTGCAGCATATCGTGCGTATCCCGTTTTTCCAAATTTATTATTTTCACCTTTCGTGATAATATCCAAGGGAGTTATCACATTCATTGCCTCTGATGTGATCAACCAGATTCCCATCTTTGATTAGTCCAAAATAACACTCGAAGATGAATCTATGTATTCAATAACTTTCATTTCCCTTGGTATTAAACGCAAAATAACCATTATTGTCAACACTGCCTACTGTTTTTTTTTTCGTCTGCAGTTTCTGACCGTGCCATCGCGTGATGCTTCATAATTAGTAATGATTGGATGTAACTAACTCATTTTGCTCCATTTACATACTAAATTCTATTTGTTTAAATCATTGTTTTGAAAATCTAATCAGGTAATCTTCTTCGGTTTTATAGGAGATTCAGTATTATATTTTTTATTGTAATATCGTTTCAACTCTGTCTTATTTACCATTGCATTGCGCACATATGTGAGTCTTTCTTCTGGGTCCAATACCAAACCGCGTACACAGTTTTGTTCCTAGACTCCCGTGTCTAACGCATTGCATATGATACCTGCAGAATTCGTTTTGTTACAAGGAGAAGTAAAACCAATCTTAAACTAGTGGCAATGGTGATTTCGTTGACTCATATAGATATGATTAAAATTCAAATTTAAATGCATATTTGCCTTAATTATAATATGAAGAAATGTTCCGCAATTGAGCCTACCGCTGCTAGATATGATCTTGACAGACTACCGAAAAATAAATTTAGTTTTTCGATGCAGGATCTAGCATTAACGAATGCGGATATAACTAAACGTATCCGTGAAGCCAAGAAAGAATTTTGCGACGATGGTGCGGCTCTTGTATGGTCCACATTCAGGATTGGAAATACCGTCTACATGCTGAATTACAAACGGGAAAGAGTGATTATTGACAACCGTTATGTTTGGAAATATATTCTTTTAGTAAAATGTATTGTTCAGATCTACGATGATGTTTGTATCATCTGAGACTAGCGCAAATCTGTCCCAAACGTCAAGGAATAATATTGTCCTTGATGCAAAATTTGAAACCAGGAATAATGACTGGAATAGACAAACCGCATTATGAGCGATCTTATCCAGTAAACGCGGTAGTGTA